ACACAGGTACACGTGAATGAAGGTACCGTGAATCCGTGTACACGGATCACGTGTACACGTGAATCTTAAAACACGTATCCAATCGTCAGCTCTAATCCAAACGTTGAACTGCCATGAAAACCAGAAAGTCATTCCAATATTGAACAGGACGTTGTAGCGTTTCCAGAGTACGGTAGATTTACATTAAGTTCGTATACATATAACTGTTTCAATTCACAAGCAGATTCCCTGGTCACTCGCTTAAGAGAGACAAGTGACTGCAATGCAGTATTCACAAGCAACCGTTTATTTTCATAAAAGGAAATTAGAGGTTCCCAGGGCAGACTCGTCTTTAAGTATTGCAACTTTTCGACCGATGTCAAACTCGGGTTTATTAAGACAAGAGAATTGAATAAGTCTTTGAATGATAACCAGTTAGCTGAAGTTCCGTCAAATTTAGGCAAATCAATGCGGGGTAACCGCGCATGATGGAAATATGTGGGAATGCTCGCAGTCTGGGTACCAGTCATTGTAGAAGAACTGTTTATGGGCTTGTAATTTATTTAATTACCGCTGGTCGATAGTGCCCAGGGCCACTTTTTCCCGGAGTACCGTCTTCCAGATTTGCACTTACTCGCGTGAGGGCTTCGCGCGAGTTTTTATTGTTAACGACAGGAGCTTGTAGGAATAAATGTACACTGTTACTCACTATACTAAGTCTTATTCAAAAATACTGACTCGCAGGTACCGACGCGTTCGGTATTCCGTTCCGACGGCGAGTACCGGTTTTCGGCGCGCAAGGCTCAGCTTCGGTTCAGCTCGAAGCTTCTCGAGCTTACACGTGCTTAACGCGTGTAGCACCTGACGCGGAGTCTTGTGCTCACGTGTTCTGTCTTTTCGCGCTTGTCCCGTAGTGTTCCCGGGAGCAGGCGCGCTCTCCCGGCGAATACTTTTACAACTCGGCCATCCTGGCCTTACATCTACGTCCCGGAGATGTGTCAATCTTCGGTACCATTATCATTCGCTAATTAATTGTCCTCCTTTCTCTTTTCCTTTTCAGAATCATGTTCCGGCGGTGGTCGCATTCGTATTCATGGTTTCAACTTATCGGAAGATAGGATGGTGTCCAGCGGCTTCTGCGTTAAGTTGAAGCCAGGTATATCTTTTACCACATATCTATTGTTACCCAGACTTTTATGTATGTGATAGAGGCCTTTGTAATTAGGTTTCAGCTTCGCGTTTTCGCCTCGTTTAAACCCTCGATTACGGATAAGAACGTAATCGCCTTCTTTGTAAACCGTCGATCTTTTAAGGTGAGTATCTCTACAGGGTGCTACGCAACATATTGAAGACCGGTCATGGGAAGGTAGAGCGGATTAAGACAAACAGAAAAGTCCTGTACTATTTTGCGCTTGGACGAATAGTTATCGAGATACTGAATTTTAAAAATCGACGTATTAGCCCAACCTACTGGCGAATGTAAGCGCGCGGTGAGATGCGTCCGCTTAGCGGCCCCGCTCGAGGCGGTGTGTAGCGAGTAGGATGGCGATGCGCGGCGAGGAGTAGGGAGGCGAGGCGCGCCGCTGCCCGTCCGGCGCTTTCACGACCACTCGCACGTCTCCCCGCGCTGCGTCAAAGTTCGCAGCGATGGTCGCTACTCACTTCGCGCTTGCATTTGCCAGTGGGTTGGACTAATACGGCGATTTTTTAAATTCAGTATCTCGATAACTATTCGTCCAAGCGCAAAATAGTACAGGACTTTTCTGTTTGTCTTAGTCCGCTCTACCTTCCCATGACCGGTCTTCAATATGTTGTGTAGCACCCTGTATATTTCTTGTTATAGTTTCTTACAAGTTCGGTCGCGTGTTTCGCGGTATCTATATTAATATTTCTTTCTTTTTTGCAGATCACTTTCAACTTGAGCCAGGGCTCGTGTGAATTGCGCTAAGGGCAGATCCTGGTGGTTTTTGTGGTCGAAGCCCAGGAACAGCTTGGAAGGAGTCGCCTTAATAGACGAGTGGTAGGTATTATGTAGCACGTATTGTACGCGATCCAAATTATCTTTCCACTCTACTGGGTCGTTTAATAATTTAATAAGGGAACTTTTTAGGAAACGGTTTACTCGTTCGACCAATCCATTGGCCCACGGTGATGCTACTGCTACCTTGCGGTGCTCGATATTGCTGTCTCGCAGAACTCTGCAAAGTCGTTCGAGGTAAATGCGTTACCCCTATCAGATACAACCACGTCAATCTTGTGAAAGCGTCTATGATTACCAGTACGTGCTTATATCCGTGTTTCGCTTCTGCCAACGGGCCGAAATGATCAATGTATATTATGTCCAACGGGTTTTCTGGGAGAGAGTACAAGTGTGTCTCTCCCTCGCTCCTGTGTGTCGAACTATTCGACATCAGGCACGCAAAACAATTTTCCAAATGGTCGATTATTCTTTTTCTCATAGAGGGGAACCAAAAGTTTTGAGAGATCCCTTGCATGTTTTTTTCTAGCCCGCAATGAGCCATCTCATCGTGGTGAGTTTATTAGGCTTGGCACCATTTGCTCGGGGACGACGAATTTCTTCTGATTTCCCTCTATTTTATAGACCAATCCGTCTATTATAGTGAGAACTTGTCGCTATCTTCTATTTCGAGTTTTTTACTTATCTCTAATACTTTCGGGTCGGTGATTTGTCGGTATTCTAGCTCGCGTTCTAGCGGGAGTTGAGTGACGTACGCTGCCGCTCGGCTAAGAACATCGACGTGTGTCATTCTTTTCCCGGGTCGGTGGGCTACCTTAAAATGATAATTCTGGAGCGACAGCATCCATCTCGCTATACGTGGACTCAAATTAGCCTTGTTTATCGCGTAGACCAGAGCATTGCATTCCGTTACCACCGCGAAGGTTAACCCGTACAAGTATAGGTGGAATCTTTCGACGGCTCGTACTATTGCTAACATCTCGCGCTTATAACTATGGTAACTATGGTAACTATGGTGACTCCGCCTGGTTGGTCGCTTGGCTAAAGTATGCCACCCGGCGCCACGAGTGGTTCGCCTACCCAAGTAGCAAGATGTCGTCATTATAACGTCGATTTAAGGTCACTTCTCGTCGTTTGACGTCAATGGACTAAATAATGACGTTAAATAAACGTAATATTTGTGACGATACATTGTCGGCATAAAAATGTCGTCATTTTGTCATTTTTAAGAGTAGGTGAGAGTAGGGTGTTCTAAACCCAGGAGCTCCGAGGGGGGAGCGGGGCGGGGGCGTACTCCGCGGCGAGGGGAGCGGGGCGAGGAGGGGGTACTCCGTGGCGAGGGGGAGCGGGGAGGGGTACTCCAAGGCGAGTGACCCTGACGTCACGCAAGGTGCTGACCTGTCACTACGTGACATGTAACAGATATCTAGGTGCTGACCTGTCACTCGTTTCGGTACTTTTTAGCGCGAACACCTGGACGCGTATTCTTATTGTCCATGTTATGAGTCACGGGTCAATCGCCGAAACCTGGCAGCTGACAGCGACTTTCATATCAAGGTGAATGAATCCGCGGCGATCCGCGGCGCAGGGAGGAGGACCGCGGCGCTACGCGATCCCCGGCGCGGGGGCGCGAGACGATCCGCAGCGCGTGCATGTAATAGATATCACCGGGATGCCTTTGATTAGCGCGAACACCTGGACGCGTATTCTTATTTTTCCTTGTTATGAGTCACGGGGTCAAGCGCCGAAACCTAGCTGTTGACAGTGACTTTCTTATTATTACCTGTTACGGTCGACGCTGTCGTTCTCTCTCTCTCTCGCCCTAGCCGGGTCTGCGGAGAGAGGGGAGACGCATGCTATGACCGCGAAGATCTCATCGCACGCGTGTAAAAATGCAAACCATGCAATGTCGTTGCGGACAAAGTTCTTAAATGTAGAGCTCGAAGGACAACTGATGTCGATAGGAGATGATGAGGGAAATAAGAGCATTTAAAATGATTAAAACCGAAGATTCTCTTTATTCATCCTTCTCTAGTTACAATAGTTAAAAGACGCTGATCTTCGATTGAGGTTTAATTTTCTGAGATCGAAGAGGATAGGAATAAAGAATGGATAAAAAATGTTTGT